TGGAGGCCTCGGGAGGGTTCCAGCTGGCTCCAGAAGAGGGCGACCTGCCGTCATGTTCGACATCAGCGCCCATCCAAGATAGTCTCAACGAAGCCTGAGCGAGGGCAACCCCCGCGCCCCCCATTCAAGTGCTCGACGCGCAGGCCGTGGCCGCAAGAGTGGGCCTGTTTTCCAAAGCGGTTGGCTCCCGCTCGGGTCGAAGGCCGCGTTTTCGGGGGCGCGCAAACATGGATTGGCCCTCCCCAAAATGCGGCAGATGCCGCCTCGTTCGGCGGCAGGAATCCGCGATTTCCCCTGGAAACGGGACCCGTCGCTAATCCACGCCCCCTTGATCCATGGTTGCGATCGCCTGAAATTTTTGTGTCCCGCTTCGGCGCCACAGAAATGTACGGCAGGTCCGTGCCGTGACGGCCTGCGCGTTTGCTCTCGACACCGCGTGGAACGATCGGCATTGACCGGCGGCGAGCCTGCGGGGGAAGTGGGAAGGTGACGGCCTCCTCGGAGGGCTCGGAAGTGCCCGGGGCCTTCTGAAAAGTTTTCTAAGCCTTCCCCGACGGTTCCCCGAAGGCACAGACATGGACCAGAAAACAAACGGCAGGCACCATCCCACCTACGGCCCCACGGGCCGTAGCGTATACCAGGACGTCTGGCGTGGGTTTTGCATGGTATACGCTACGGCCCCCGATGGGCCGTAGCGAAACATGGAAGGCCGTAGGTGGGGTGGTGTCGTTTGTTATTTGGCCGAAGAGAGCTTCTCAAAGGCCCGAAGGCTTCTGAGAAGCCCCGCCGCCTTCTGATAAGGCCTTTTCCTTCTCACTTCACTCCCCCTCGCTCGCCGCCGAATTGACAAATCACAACTCTCCGATGCCGTGGATCGTCCGATGTCGGCCGACTCCGGGCCACTGGCGGCGTTCGACCGGGAACGCCCACGACAGGGTCGCCGACGCGTCGACACGGCGCGAGCACGCCGCAGTCTGCCCGAGGTCGCTTGCTGCAACGCCCGAAGCTCCTCCCTCCGAGGAAGACCCCCCTCCCGACGGGGCACAACCGCCGAGCAGCTCACGGGTCCTGCCCTCGCCACAGGGAGGAGAACTACGCGGCTACACCGGCCCTGGCAGAGCTTGTCCTGGGCCCAGGTCAGCGCATGCGACATGCGGCCTCTGCCAGGAGGCATACACGACAGACTCGTGTCGTGACGACTGGCGCGCTGGTTGTGGACACCGCGTGGATCGCAGCGGACGTTACCGCCGGCAGGTCGTCTGAGATGGAGAGGTGGGGAGCGTCAGCTTCCCTCTGCACCCTCTCGCGAGGAGTGCATGGCCTCTGTGAGGCAGCACGCGGGCTCGTCCTTTTCTCGTCGTATGGGCCTGTGGCCCCGCGACGGTTGCACAAGGACGAGCTGCGGCTAGGGCCGTGTGCGTGGTGTCGGATGAGATGATACCTGGGGGCACTGCGTCTGCGGCTGTGCCGTCACTGGTCTACTGAGTTCCTCGAAGGTAGCAACGCGCTCCGCCACAGGAACGGTCGCTGGGCCGGTCATGCCAGTACCTGTGTTCCATCGGCGGTTAGCGCGAAAGCGCCCTGGAGTATCAGGACCAACGGGGCTGGCGCCCGACGCAGTTGGGATTGTTCCCGACGGAAGAGGAGATGGAGGGTCGAAGGTAGGCGTGTGAAATTCTTTACTGCCTGCTCCTATTCCTTTTCCTGTCCCCCCGCGGGCGGCGTGGCGGTGAAGTTCAGCAGCAAGCCGCGCCTCGGGTCCGTCTGAGCTGGGGGGGGGTACCTGGGACACCTACACGGTCCACTTTAAGGCTCTCCAACTCATCACCGAGCCGTCGCGCCGTCGGAGAGCTCGGACGCGAGGCCCCGACGGACCCCTTGCGGCGCATGCGCCGCTTGGGTTCCATCGAGGCCGCGTGCGAGGTCGCGACGCTGGGTTCGATGAACTGTGAGCTTTAAAGGGCTGATAACCTGTGTATGGGGTTAGAGTACAAGGGTACGGAACCCCTGATCCGCTGGTAGAGGAAAGGAGGGAAAGATGGATATCTTTTCCTCCTGCACGATCAAAGGTCTGATCGATCTAATCCAATACCTGAGCCCAAACGGCCAGGCGCAGGAGAGGTGAGGATAAGGAGTATATATGAGGGTATTATACGGGTTCTATTCACAATCCACGGTCTCGCGTTCTGGACTCCTCGGGCGCGATCCCATGAATTAGCATGAGAAGAATACATACAAACTGAAACCTTCGGAGATCCGCACGGATTTCTTGGATCGATGCTGGACCCCCTCCCGCCCTCACTGGCGCGCGAAGCGCATCAGGGGACACCGCCTGAAGTGCCGCCAGGAGGCCAGCGCAGATCCATAAAAAACCGCGCGGACCTCGGAAGGCTTACGTTTATGAATACGTTTCGTGGTCTATGGATGCCGGGACTGCCGAGGAGCGCCTGGGAGCGCCTGGGAGCGCCTGGGAGCGCCTGGAACCGCCGAGGAGCGCCTGGGAGCGCCAGGGAGCGCTTGGGAGCGCCTGGAGCGCCTGGGAGCGCCTGGGAGCGCCTGGGAGCGCTTGGAAGCGCCGGGAACCGCCTGGCAGCGGCGATGCGGCGCGATCCTCCGACCCCGTGTACTCAGACCCCAGCTGGGAGGGCTGGAGCCCCAGAAGGGCCAGGAGGCCTCTGAGAGGGCGCCCTCGCTCCTCTGAAGGACACGAGTGCCCAGAATGGGGGAACTGACAACTGCACGCACATCAACTGTCCATGGGGAACCCTAAAGGCACCGATACCGCTGCTCCCTGGACCTCTCCTAGGGTGCGTTCTAACCAGGATTTCGAGGCGCATCCAGCGGTGGCGACGAGGGCCTCCCAGGAGGCCCCACAAGGGGAAAACGGGCGAAGGGTAGAGGTATGGGTACCTTGTCCTCCTCCTCCGAGTCCATGAGATCGCGCACCCATGGCGTCGCAACTCGGTGTGAGGACAGCGGAAGCTGCGAGGGCAAGGATGTAACGCTCGACGCTCAGGAGCAGCCCCGGCCGCGCCCGGCCCGACGCTGGGGGCGCCTTCGCGAGCGTCACCTGCAGCTCGTACGAGCCCTGGCTGTACGTCCAGGTCGACTCCAGAGGGTCCACCTGCCCAAAAGCACCCAGGCCACGCACGGGAAAAGAAAAAAAAGTAATCAAAGCTGCAGAAGCAAAGACGTTCGGAGGTCCGCGCGGAGCTCTTGGACCAGCGCTGGACTCCCCTCCCTGGCGCGCGGAGCGCGCCAGAAGCGGCGCCAGAGGTGCCGCCAGGGTGGCGCCCAGCGCAGATGCACGAAATCTGGAGCTCCGAAAGATCACTCCCGCTTTCACCATGGGGGGTAGTCTGATCTGGGAGGGGGTCTGATTTAAGCTGTCTTGGAGAACTCTGGGGGGTCCGGGGTCTGGCATGGCTGCTGTCGTGGGACTCTGAAATGCTCGCCCGGGAGGTTTGTGACCCCCATCCCTGCACTCTGCAACCCGGAACACGCCCGTGCAGCTCTTGTCCACCGAACGTGGGAACGAACGACCGGCTCCCTGCCGCCCAGCATGGCGGTGCCTCGGGGAACAGGACCCAGGGCACAGCCGGGCCGCGGGGCGCGGACCTCCGCCCAAAGAGAGCCCCCGAGACCGCCAGCGGGCGCCCAAGAGAGGGCCCCCCAGGAGGCTCTGATATCAAACTCATGCAATCACTCGCGGAACTGGTGGCACGTTGCATCGGCCAAGCAGAGCAAAAGGAGGAGGAGGAGGAGGAGGAGGAGGAGGAGGAGGAGGAGGAGGAGGAGGAGAGGGGAGGGGGGGGGGAGGGGGAGGGGGAGGGGGAGGGGGAGGGGAGGGAGGAGGAGGAGGAGGGAGGAGAGGAGGAGGAGGAGGAGGAGGAGGAGGAGGAGGAGGAGGAGGAGGGAGGAGGAGGGGAGGAGAGGAGGAGGAGGAGGACGAGGAGGACGACGAGGAGGACGAGGAGGAGGAGGAGGAGGGAGGGAGGGGAGAATATGAGCCAGGTGACTATGCACATATAGCGATCCTGGCCAGACCCACCCTGGGCCCAGGATCTGCACAGGCGCTCTCCTGGCCTGGCCAGATAGGCATGTACACCTAACCAACTACGCCTGATTATCACGCCTGGGGGATAAGAAAGTTCGGGGCCCCGGGGGGGATAATGAACGACTTGTCCCGGCAAGTAGTACGTGGGATGTCTGACGAGGAAAGAAGAGGTCGTCGTCGTCGTCGCCGCACGAAGACGACCTCGACCACGACGACGACGACGACGACGACGACGACGACGACGACCTAGCCCTTCGAGCTCCGAGACTTCGGGGGGATCACAAGGAGGGGATGGAAAAGGAAAGAGAAGGGGGAGGAGGAGGAGGGTGGGAGAAGGGAGAGGCCCCAGGACCAATGCTCAAACAAAGAAAACTGGCGAAGGGCCCAACCACATGCAGATGTGAATACCGTCGTGGTTAGTATCGCCTTCGGTGGATCTCCTCATGGGACCATGGCGTGAAGAGTGTGCCGACATGGGGCAGGGCGGAGATCCCTATGGGGCCACGAAACGTGTGAGGAGTGTGCCAAAATAGGGCGGCGCCGCCATGCAGATTGCGCCACTGGGACCGTAGGTGGAGCTCCCTGTCGGGCCACGAAACGTGTGAAGGGTGTGCCAAAATGGGGCGGCGCCGCCATGCGGACTGCGCCACCGAAACGTGTGAGGGGTGTGCCAAAATAGGGCGGCGCCGCCATGCGGACTGCGCCACTGGGACCGTGGGTAGAGCTCCCTCTTGGAGCACGGAACGTGAGGGGTGTGCCGAAATGGGGCGGCGCCGCCATGCGGACTGCGCCACTGGGACCTCAGGTGGATCTCCGCATGGGGCCACAAAATGGAGGCTCACACGCCTCGCCATCGCTCGGACGTCCATTCCCTGTGCTTTTTCCGGTTTCGTGCGTGGTTTTTCGCCAAATGATCAAGGATACTCCTCGATGGTCCCCACCGAGGAAAAAATGCACACGTCCGAGCGATGCCAAGACGCAGGAGCAAGGGAGGCTGGCACCATCACCACCACCGGAGCAGTGGGCGGCCCTCCCGGGCTGTGCGCTGCCGCCCTCCTTCAGCGCGCACGGATCAGCAACAGCGCCAATCCTGAGCTCGCCCGGGTGCGGCCGTGAAGGGATGCTCGGCTGCCCGCACCCGCCCAACGGCCAGAACGCTCAGGACCAACGGAGCCGCGCCGATGCGACGGCGGGAGAGACGAGGCCAGCGGCAGCGGCAGCTGCAGCGGCCGCAACGGCCGAGGCGGTAGCGGCCTCGGCCGCAAGGACAGCAGATCGGGCGACGTCAGCAGATCGGCGCGGCAGCAAGGAGGTCTGAACCCCTCCGCAAGGGGGGTAGCTGTTCGCCCCAGATCCGTGTTGGATTGTCCCAAGGCCCAAGCAACAACCCCCGGATCCCGAAATGGAAGCACAACTCCCAGATTGAAAAGGACACACATCGTCGGAGATCTGGGTGACCACCTCGCCGATCCCAGCCGAGCCCATTCTGGGCCAAGTACGTATGGGCGCACGCGCCCTCCTGGCCCTGGCCCTGGGGTGGCGTATGCACCGATCTCGGGAACCAGATCGGCATGGCCGGGATCGGTGTGGGTGGTCAGGTGACGCTCCCCGAACGCTCAAGAACCAAAGCTCCACGTACAAAGTGGCCAGCGTGGACCCCACACAGTGCGTTATCGCAGAGCGAAGGTGAAAGCTACGCGGTGTACGCTACGTGGTGAAAGGTATGCGGTGTGAGCTGATGAGGAAAACGATGCGGCGCAAGCCATGTGGCGTAAGCTATGTCGTAAACGCCAGGTGGTGCGAACTGGAGGTGCGATCTGTGGGGAGCAAGCTGTGTTTTGTCAGCTATGGGGCGTAATCTATGAAGGCTGCGTCGGGCTAGCTCAGCGCACGGGGCCCCCCCGAGGCGGCACGGGCGGCAACGTGGCGCAACCTGGGCACCCCCCCAACGAACGGGGCACCCACGAGGCGCTCCCGAGGCGGCACGGGTGGCAACGTGGCGCAACGGCATACCACACACCCCGGAGCGCGTGGCACCCACGAGGCCCTCCCGAGGCGGCACGGGCGGCAACGTGGCACAACCTCGGCACGCACACGCACACACGCACACACGCACACACGCACACACGCACACACGCACACACGCACACACACACACACACACACACACACACACACGCATTCACAGCGCACGGGGCCCCGGGCCCCCACGAGGCGGCACGGGCAGCAAAGTGGAGCAACCTCGGCATACCCTCAGAGCACGGGGCGCCCACGAGGCGCCCACGAGGCGGCACGGGCCGCAGCGTGGCGAAAACCCAGGACACCAAAAAATGCTGCACACTTCGCGTATCCTCACCAAGTTTTCTTCCCGCACTCGTGCGTTCTGCTGCCTCGGGACTATGCGGCTACGGCCACCCTGGGATTTCCAGCGTGCCAACGCTTTCGCCTCCTGGCTTTGATTCTCTGACCGACGGTCCTTCGGGCCACCCTGGTACTGACGCAGTTGTCCGGGGTTGCGTCCTTACATTCATTTCGGCTTCTGGCCCGGGTCGTCGTGCGTCCCGACTCCCTGGTGTCCGACGCTTTGCATACTTTCACGCTGGCAGTTCGACTCCGTTTCAGCTGTCCTTCCACTCGCCGGTCCGCCGCTGGGCTGCTGCGTGAGGGCTCGGTTTGCCGCTGTAGGTGTGGCCTCCCTCCGTCGCCTTAGGTTAATTCGTCGCTGCGTGGCCCGCTTTGACTGGACTCGCCGCCGGCGCGCTCGCCCGCAGCCGCTGACTAGAAAGTATCCCCACCAGCCCTGCTAACGCTCACGCCCACCCCAGGCATCAATTCGACCTTGACTGTCGGTCCTCTTGGCTGCGGCCACCCTGGTACTCTCGCAGTTGTCCGGGGTCTCGCGCCCTTGCATTAATTACTACGCCTCTGTCCCTGGTCGTCGTTCTTCTCGACTACCTGACGCTTCCGACGCATTGCATGTTTGCACACTGGCAGTACACAGCCGAAAGGGCTCGCGGGGTTACCTTAATGAAACAAGGCCACTGTGCAAGCACGCATTGGAGGCTGACAGCAAAATCTTAGCCATCGAGGGCCCCACGCAGTTCGCTGTTGTCCTGTGGTGGTAGTATATACGCGATGCTAGCTACGTGGCGAAAACTATTTGGTGTGAGCTGATGAGGTGAAACGATGCGGTGCCAGCGCCGTGGTGGAAGCAATACCGTGTACGCTAGGTGGTGTGAACTGGAGGTAAAAAATATGGGGTCCAAGCTATGTGATGCAAGGTCGATTGGGCATTGGTAACCACTGGTGGGTTGCACAGCTCACTGCTCGCGAAAACGTCTCACCTTCCCACGCGCAACTTGCTTCACGAAGCCAATGCAGTCGCGAGTGCGGTGATTGCTTGGTCCTGGCCAGCGCATGTCTGCGGCCGCGCTGGCGCGCGCAAACTCGCGCGCAAGGCGGCAAGCTGATTTGGCACAGCTGATGCGACCGCGACCGCGCTTGCCGATGGCACATTCCCAGCGGGTCTGAGGCCGCGCTGGCTCGCGGGCAATTCTTCAGTACGGGTCGGTGACTCGGGCGGGCGCGAGACCATGATGGCGTCGGCAACGGCGACAATGATGATGCCAGTAGCGATGGTGGTGGCGATGATGACGATGACGGCGGCAAGGCCACTGACGGCGGCGACGCTGGTGGAGACGACGAAGATGATGATGCATGCCAGCGGTTGGCGATGGCGATAACGGCGGCGATACGATGGTGCTGATGCAGGTGGTGGTGAGGAAGTGCGCGCGCAGGCATTCATGAAATCGGGCGGGCGTGGTGTTGAAAAACACGTTGCTAGGAGGAGGAGGAGGAGGAGGAGGAGGAGGAGGAGGAGGCGCTTCGAAACCCAATGGTGTTGGGAAATATAATCGGCACGGGCGCGTGGCGGCGCGCGCGCGGCCCGAGTGGTGTTATGTGGTGCGTGGTCGTGCACGGGGCGCAGGATAGATCAACGCAGATGCAACTGACTGCCTGCCAGACCACCCCAACCCAACCCGAAGACCCGAATTTCGGGTTGGGGGGGGGGTACGGGCTTCACCACTACCGTGCCAAGGCAGGGCCATCCTGGGCCCCAGGATGGTGTATACGCCCTCCTGGCCGAGGCCAAGAGGGTCTATAAACCATCCTGGGGCCCAGGGTGGCCCTGGCCTGGCACGGTGGTGGTGGATAGATGCCTTCGTCGGATCAACGCAGATGCAACGCGCGGCGAGGTGAGAGTGCGGGCTCTGAACGAGGTTGCTGCCATCGTGTGGTCCTCATGTGACTGCAACAGAGGCAGGCTGGCAGACAATACGCGTGCCTCGTTCAACAGATAGAGGTTGGTCCTGCTTGTGCGTTGGAAGGTTTGGAGCACGAATGCTGTTTGTGTGAGTTTAACATGTGCGCTCGCGTGTGGGCCCTGCGCAAGTTGTTTGCAAAGGGTGCTTGGCAAATGATGTTCTGAGATATGAGGGTGTGCGCGCATGGTAACATGTTTCAAGGAGGAGGAAGGGTCAAGACCAGCTGGGCTGGGATGGCATAAACTCATATGGAATTCAATGGTGAGGCAGGATCATCTGTGCTTTGCAGTGTGGCAGGGCGTCCCGAGAAGCCCAGGTCGGGGAGGGGGTGGATGCGAACTTACTTGTTGAAAGGAGACAGTCTGCGGTGCAAACCACGTGGTGTAAGCTATGCGGTCGCGTAAGCTCAGCGAACGGCGCACCCACGAGGCAGCACGGGCGGTAACGTGGCGCAACGTCGGCATACCCCCTCAGCGAACGGGGCGCCCACGAGGCGGCACGGGCGGCAACGTGGCGCAACCTCGGCATAGCCTCCCAGGCACGGGGCGCCCACGAGGCGGCACGGGCGGCAACCTGCGCAAGCTCGGCAGATCCCTCGAGCGCGGGGCGCCCACGACGCGATGCGGGCCGCGGCGTGGCGAAAACCCAGAATGCCAACCAATCACCGTAACGAAACGAGGCAAGAATCTCCGAGTGCAAGCACTGCTTGGGGAACAACGCTCGCGCGGACATCTGAAAGTGTACGCTTTGGGCTGTTAGTTTACTCCTAGTACGGCTACTACGACTAGCAAAGATGCTGCGAACATGATCGATCATGTGACACCTGCCAGCAGCGTGCGTGTGTCATTCTTAGCTATCGTGATACAACTGTGTCATCCTTATGGTTCCTGATTGTCTCATGGCTCTGGAAGTTGCCCAATGGTTCTGAATACGCTCGTTGCCATCACCCAGGCCAGAGAGGCCAGGCAGCGACCATTACGCGCCCGGAAAACTATGTCAGAAGGGGAGAGAGAGAGAGAGAGAGAGAGAGTGCAGAAGCAACAGCACCAGCACCAGCACCAGCGCCAGCACCAGCACCAGCACCAGCACCAGCAGCAGCACCACCAGCACCAGCACCAGCAACGGCAACGTTAGAAAGCAACTCACGGAAGCTGTTGGTCGTCCCCATGGCCCTGTTGGGCGCGATTGCGCGCTATTGGGCGCTATGACAACGCATCTCCCTCACATGGCGCTATTGATCGCTATTTGGTGCTATGTCAGCGCTGTTTGAACGCGCCCTGACACTACTGGGCGCTATGCGTCGCTATGGGGCACTGTTGGGCACTTCTTGCCGACGCACATTCCATCCAAGACGGGCGGAGCCTCCATGATTTACGATCTAGCCGATGCGTCAAACATGCGAAGATCGGAAGAGGAGGGAGCGGAGGAGGAGCCGCTGCGGGAGGAAGAGGAGGGCAAGAGATAATTTAATAATGATAATAATGATAATAATAAGAAGAAGACGAAGAAGAAGACGACTAATGATATTAGTAATGAGAATAATAATACTAATAATAATGAGAATACTAATAAAAAGAAGAAGAAGAAGAAGAAGAAGAAGAAGAAGAAGAAGTAGAAGGGGAAGCGGGGCGGCAGCGCCAGCGGCACCCACGGCGGCAGCGGCAGCGGCAGCGTGCCGCCGCTGCAGCAGCCGAGGCAGCAGCAGCAGCGGCACGCCGCGCGGCTCGCGACGGGCGCGGCCGCTCGGCGGCGGAGGCGCGGGCGCTGGCCTCCGCGTGCAGGGGCCCGCTGGCGAGGACGCGGCCGCGGAGACGCACGAAGAGGGACCTGGGAGGGGGCGCGCGCGGGTCGCGGCGGGGATCACCCGCCTCGGCAGGATCCCTACGCCTGCTTGGATCGCCGCCGAAGGGATGAGGGGGGGTTCTGAGTGGATGCCAAGTGGAGCTACCGCTGGTGCAGTTGACCAACCCAGCTCACAGATGGGCTACGGCTGCCCCAGGTGGCTTGAAGAGGTTCGGTAATTCTGCTAAGTGGGCTCCGCCCACTGAGCCCAAATATTTGCAACCAGTAAGCCGCTGAGGGCATTTGCACCCCCCTTGTAAGCTGGAGCCCCGACACAACCCACCTTGGCATCCGTTTAGAGCCCCCTTTTTATCCCCTCAGCAACCCCAGCGGTGACCCTAGGATCCCTAAGATGGGCAAGCCCAAAGGCGACAACAGTCTGAGGGACGCGCCCTCAGAAGCTGATAGAGTCCTCAAGATCGATATCGAGGTAAGGTAACGCCAACCATAGGGATAAGGACGTGCTTCAAGCTGGCAAGGGGGGGGGGGGCTCGGAGGCTGCGGAAGCGGCGGACGCCGTCGGATATCCGACTCCAGGCGGCCTGCTTTGCACCGAGCACCCCACCCTCTGCTGAGGGGCAGAGGAGAGGAGGGACAAACAACCACCGCCCGTCCTGAGGGAGCGCCCCGCGAACCAGGGCCAGAAGTGGAGCACAAGCTGCGCGCGCCGCACATGACTTGACAACAAGCTAGTGCTGCAGCAAAATGTTGGTAGCACATGCGCAGCGTGGGGAGGAGAAGTCGCACCAGCCGTCGACGGATGGGCCAGCACGCCCCTTTCATACTCATCGACCAGAGAAAACGCACTCAATGCTCGATCCAGACCCAAGGCGATGCCTGGCAACCACGCTGCCCACTCTGACACCCCGTCGCACACCCACCGACTCCAGAGGACACCAAAGGAGTCGCAGGTCTCCTCCTGTGGCAACCTCCTCCTCTTCCTCCTCCTCCTCCTCCTCCTCCTCCTCCTCCTCCTCCTTCTCCTCCTCCTCCTCCTGTGCTCTGGACCCGATGGCAGCCCGTGCCCTGAACGCGACTGCCAGGACTCGAGGGCACCGCTGCACTCGCAGCACCGACCTGCCAGCCAGACCCGACTGCAGCCGAGGGGTGGGGGGCTCTGAGGCCGTCGGCGGCCCGCAGCGGCTGCGCCCGCCGAGGAGGCTTTTCGTTTTCTTTCCATGGAGCACAGCCCCATCGTGTGTCACCACGCCTCAGCCAGCACAGTGAAAGGATTCGCACTGCCACTGCAAGTTGCCCCTTCACAGGACAGCACTAAGCAAGCCTGATGCCCGCTGCTCCTCTCGAAGACACTCCCGAGTCCCCGAGGAGGCAGGGAGGAAGAAGCACTGGGGCATGGGACCAGGGGTGCTGACCAGTCTGGGCGGGGCAGTGCCTTGAGCGGGCCAGCCCATGTAGCATTTGGGGGAGAGAGACAGAAAAGGCCGAAGCATGAACTGTCGGAGGTACGCGCGGATGTCTTGGAGCGGCTCTGGACCTCCCTGGAGGCGCCTCCAGCAGCACCCCTGGGCGCCTCCGAAAGTTGTTGTTTATGATGTAGCTGCTTCTGATTCGAAGTAGGACTTCGGCCACAAGAAAACCTCCACGTGAAGCCAAGGCCCTGAAACACCCCGAATCGAACGGACTCAGGGTATGGAACGCCCTGGCTTCCGACTGCAAGCCTGTCGGAGACCGCAATCACACGGGATCCTGGTAGAATACAGGCGGCTTCTTGCTGCGCGCCTCCCCTACGTCTAGCGTCTAGCTCCCTCACCAGATCCTCCCCGCCCAGCATTGGAGATCCCAAAACCGTGTGGTGACAGACCGTGCGGTGACCTCGGAACACCAAGAGACCTCACAGCACGGTCTGTCACCGCACGGTCTTGGGACCCTGGAGGCCCCTGTCGCCCGTGACATCCTCGGAGAGGGACTCGAGTCCCAAAGCCTTGCGGTGACCCCGAATCCCCACCGACTCACCACACGGTGTGGTCACCACCCCGTTTGGGAGCCCCCGACAGCAGCGCCGCCCATACCCTGCCTGCCCCGGGAAGTGGGCCCACGGGAAGGCCCGAGGGGGCTGCGAGGGGCTCCACGAGGATACCGTACGGACCTGCTGCCGTGTCCCAAGATCCGCTGCTGGGCTTACACGGCTGCCTCCTCCTCCTCCTCCTCCTCCTCCTCCTCCTCCTCCTCCTCCTCCTCCTCCTCCTCCTCCTCCTCCTCCTCCTCCTCCTCCTCCTCCTCCTCCTCCTCCTCTTCCTGACTTTGAGAGCAAACCA